CAGACTCCAGGTTTAGGCCCCCAAATCTGTGTGTGTGTATAAATATATCTATGGCTTATACATATAGATCATGTATAAAACAATTTTAAACACTTAAATTCTGTAAAAATCCTTTAGAATTAAAAAAAAACCCAAAAAACTGGAGTCAATGCACGTTTCTTTTGCAGCCTGATGACTACCTGACTTAGGTGGTCTCTTAAATCATGAGCTCTGGCCCAGAGCACTGCGGTAGGGAAGTTGCGAACTTAGGCCGCATTTTTGACATCACTAATTTTCCTTTTTTGTGGGGTGGTTTATTAGGTTACTTTCCAGAGGAAAATACACTCCTTGTGTAAGGAGTAGGGGTGTTCGCTGAGAAGTTGAACTCCACTTTCTGCTCTCCCTGAAGTTACTGTGCAAGCGTGGGTCAGCTCTGGGTCAGCTCTGAGTCAATCTTTGGACTCTGACTCTGAAGGCCTTGATTTTCTTGTGTGCAGAGTTCATTCCTAGAACTAATTTGAGTTTTTTCTTTCTTTTTTTTTTTTTTTGAGACAAAGTCTCACTATGTTGCCCTCAGTAGAATGCCATGGCATCACAGCTTACAGCAACCTTAAACTCTTGTGCTTAAGTGATTCTCTTGCCTCAGCTTCCCAAGTAGCTGGGACTACAGGCGCCAGCCACAACACCTGGCTAGTTTTTGTTGCAGTTGTATTGTTGTTTAGCTGGCCCTGGCCGAGTTCAAACACACTTCCCTCAGTGTATGTGGCTGGCCCTGTAACCACTGGGCTATGGGCACTGAGCCTTAATTTGAGGTTTTGAGCTCTATGCAGGATGTCATGTGAGACCATGAGGCTCACCCATGGGAGTTTCTGTTCATGAGGGTGGGGATGCCAGGCATTGAATGGCTTCCCCGCAGGGCTTGTAAGGAAGGGCCAGTGGTCACAGCTCACTCCTACAGTCCTGCATCCTGGATCCGGAGCATCTCCTGACTTCCCTGGAGCAGGTGGCTAAACCGTCCTTCCCTCTGGTTCTCAGGCAGCACCTGGGATTAGACACAGAAATCGACATCAGGTGTCCAGCTCAGGGCAGGTGCACAACCTGGCCACATCTTCCAGCTCTTCTTTTCATAGACCACAGGAAGGGGAAGTTCTGAAGACTAAACATTCCTAGTGACATTTGCCTGTGACACTGTCCTGCATGCCCAGGACGAAAGCTGCCAGCACAGTCTATTTTCTAACAGGGTTGTAGGTGGGAGATGTCTGTACCCGTTTAGTAGCTAAGGATTAGCTAGTGGTGTTGGCTTTAAGAAAAAAATAGAGGAGCAGTTGGGTCTTTTTTGTTTTGCTTTTTGGCTGGCTGTTTCCTGCTTCATAAATCTGGGGAGCGAGGCCAGGGAGTCATGAGCTCTTCCCCACGTCCCAAGCCTACCCGTGTGTGTGTGTGTGTGTGTGTGTGGTAGGGGATCAGCCACAGCACCCCTCTGGACCAGCTGCTGTGTCCATCTGCAGCTGGGGCAGGCTTGGTGATCTATGGGCAAAATGCCGTGCCCAGGGGCCTTTATCGCTGCTTCCCAGCAGCTGGTGTGAACAGGAGTGGAAAAATAAACTCTAGCTTTCCCTAACATCAGGAAAAAGGCTTCCACAGACCAGGAAACAAGCCCACACCCCAACTCTTCCCTCTGGGTTGCCACTCTCTGGCCACAAGCTGAACCCACGTGGTGTCGTGCTCCGGCCTCTGAAGACCTGCCTTTTCACCTGGGAGCAGGTGAATCCCTGTGAGAGGCCAAGGTTAAGCTTGGCATTCACATTCCCAACCTCCAAGGGAGTTAGGAGCTGAGAAAGAGTGGTCTTGAATTAAAGGGAAAACACCTTCATTTCCATTTACTTTGGATTTCAATCTCAGAAAGATTCTTTGAACGACAGATTGTAAGCAGCTGTCACATGAGCTGCTGCTCCATGTCTGACCAGACTAGATGGTGTCAGGGGGCCTGGGAGGACTGGGAGTCTGTGCACCCCCCACCCCCCAAGACCTGTGTCAGGCCCAGCTGAACCATGGTGAAAATGAACCTCCCGGAAAATGGGCTCAGGGAGGCAGCATGGTGAGCCTGGACGAGTGGAACTGAAGCCCGGGACACGCGTGCCGGCCTCTTTTCCTCAGCCAGTATTTTTAGCAGATACTAACAAAGGCCACGTACTCTTCAGTCTGCTCTTTAGACAAATCCTAAACCCCGAAGGGGTTCCCAGCCCAGGGAGGGAACCAGACCTGTGCGTAACGGCCCTGCAGGTTTTAGGACAAATATTAGTGGGGTTACTGTGGGGCTCACAGGAGGAAATCAGGCTGGCCACAGGGAGGGGACAGGACACAGTGGGGCATTTCCCAGTGGAGAGGCAGGAAGACCACGTTAGCCACTCGAGTAAACTATCTCCATGAAGCCTTTTCTGATGGACGAGCAAAGAGTGATTTTTTTTTTCCCTTTTCTAGACTCCAATATTTTAGGTCCTAAAACTTTTTTTTTTTCACTATTTCTCAATGAATGTTTAATTTCTTTCATGTGGACAAAGTCAGGACGTGACACATCTCGTGTCCCTACTTCCAGAACCTCACGGGGCAGATGGAGACACGGGTTACTTCTTCACCTGGGAGAACAACTGGGCGGGAATCAATCTGAGTTCTTGCTGAGCTCTGGGGGCCGTTGGCCTCCATTTGGCCTGTATCTTAGGACCAGCCCAACCATGCAGCAGAGTTTGTTGCCTGCAAAACACCAGTAAGGTTGGTGGCCATTCCAATGTGGTCAGTGTCCTGTCCAGGAAGGAGGTGAGCCAGTCCAAAGAGAACAGGGGAGCCACAGGATAGGTCTGCCTGGCTCCATGGAGCAGAGGATGGGAAATCTGGAAAAGGACAAAATAGATCACATCAGGGCAGCCGTGGGGCACAGCTTCCGCACCTCACTCCCATGGATATACCATCTAATTCTCTAAACTCGGCATTCTTCATCTTTAATCGGCATTTCTGAGCTACACTTAATAGTGCAGAGAGTAGTTACAAAGAGAACTAGAAGGGGCCACCTGCCTGTACGTATACACATGCAGGTTACGTGCTCCTAATCTGAAAATCCAAAATCTGAGACATATGAGTGCCAACCTGATTCACACAGACAGTGTTCACGAGAGCTCTTCAAATGTTAGATTTTCACATTAGCATGAACCAGTATGTATTGCAACCAGTATGGATTTTTGCCAATATTTTAAAATTCAAGAAAAAAAAAAAAGAAGAAGAAGAAGAAGAAAGGAAAAGGAAGAAGGAAGAAAGAGGAGGAAGGAAGAAGGAAGAAGAAGCCAAATGTGAACATTTCTGGTCTCCAGAATTTTGGATAAGGAGCGCTCAATCTGTCTATGACAATGGAAGCCTGGATCAGGCCTCACGGAAAGAGGAAGGAGGGATTTTTTTTTTAAATTGTAACCACAAGTGTGCCTGGTTAAAAAAATTAAGAAGTCATAAAAATCTTAGGACAAAACCTATAGACACTTGTCATACCTTTTCTAGGTTCCAGAATCATCTTCTTAAAACTCTTTTAGTAATTTCTTCTGGTATAAAACTTCTGATTCCTGGGCCCAGCCTCATATGCCAGAGGTGGTGAGTTCAAACCCAGCCCTGGCCAAATACTTCCAAAAAAAAAAAAAAAAAAACCAAACTTTTTTGGTGGTCAAAACAAAAGTGGTCAAAACAAAAGTGGTCAAAACAAAAGAAATGAGTGCATATTGTGTGTCAGTGCTGGAGGCCAAGATTGCTGTGCTGAATGACGCTGCAGGAGGGCTGACACAGG